ATTATTATATTATTATTATTATTATTATTATTATTATTATTATTATATTATATTATATTATTATTATTATATTATTATTATTATTATTCTTATTATTATTATTATTATTATATTATTATCTTATTATTATTATTATATTATTATATTATTATATTATTATTATTATTATTATTATTATTTATTATTATTATTATTATATTATTATTATTATTATTCTTATTATTATTATTATCTATTATTATTATTATTATTATTATTATTATATTATTTTATTATATTATTAAACGTTTCAGCGTTCGTCCCCTACTCAACCATATGACTTCAGAGCGAAGAAGTGTTCCCTGTATTGACAGTCGCTTGAGCTTAAGTGCCAATTTCACCTACATTACTATTTAACGGTCCCTTGGACCAATGGGAAAATACCTCATCGAAATGCAATTTGACGGAAGCTGTCAGCGGTTTCTATTGAAATGTTGAATGAAATCGTGAAAAAACGGTTGCTTTATAAATAAGGGTACATTATAGATGTAATATCATTGTCTCTGCTTGTAGAATTAGGATAACTTTAATAGAATTTCAAATTTTTATCGTTTTAGAAAGACGGTCAGTTATTTAAATGGACCAATGAAAATCAGAGAAATAATAGGTCGATTTTCTAGCTATTATATTTGGTAGGATGTTTTCACGGTTTTTGACGACTGTTCATCATGGCAATCTAGTTTTGTATGTATATCACGTACACGTTGTACATAATACGTACCTACCTGTAGAAATGTACCGATTTTTGCTATTTTGCAAAAACAGTTGATTTGACAATCCTGATGAAATCCACCCTTAATCTTGTCACAATTCTTACTACCAATTTCATAACGTTGTTTAGTTTTAGAAAATGTCACATGATGCTTGCTTGATAGATAATGCAGTAGTAGGACAAGGCAATTGCGAAAACCTTCATCTTTTCGACATAACCCACGAGACCCTTAGCTGGAGCGCCATCGGTTGTCAAGCTTTCCATTTCCAATATTAGAATTTTCTCAGAAGAGATAATATTTTTAAAAGAACAAAACAAGTTCTGCCTAGTAGCTTGTCCTTTTAGTGGAATTAAACTTCAAAAGATCTTCTTTAATCGTAGAATCACTAAGAACCATCTTGACGAACGCGGCCATCTGGGAGGTGTCAACGACATACGTGGATACATTCAGTTGCGGTGAAATATAAGCACAGTTATCTAGGTCATTTCTTAACTCTCAAGCTATATTATTGCTCGTTACTACACTGTATTAACAGAAAGTAGCATAGGTTTTTATAGCAGACACTATCTCGTCTTGGCAAATAATCACTGATCAACAGCCAAAAAATATCCTAAATAAAATCAACAAAATATTAATATTTTTAATGTGCTAAAACCGGAATGAAACTTATTTTTTCAATATTAGTTCAAGTTTTAGAGATACGGTAATTATATGTGTTCCTGCTGTGACAGTGTTAATATACTGTAATTCACAAGAATGCACGTGCTACATTTTTATATTCGGCAAGGAAAGATGATGTAATCGGCATGATTGTGTTACGTTATACATACGTGTACATTATATTTGTTTAATATTAGCCATTTTTTTCCTCAGTTGGCTGACGGCGTTCATGCAAGATGTCTCGAAAGTGTTGTAAACAATCCAGATCAGTTTTGTACGTGTGTGGTGATGTGACTTTCTGCGTCTCAGAGGCGGTCTATTACTCCACTAATAACAAAGGCATATCAGCTTTATTTCGGTTGTAAACTAGGTGATCAAGACAAACAGTGGGCACCCCACATCTGCTGCAATACATGTGCTTCAAGTCTGAGGAGCTGGTTAAATGGCAAAAAACGGTCTATGCGCTTTGCTGTCCCAATGGTTTGGAGAGAGCCTACAAATCATATTAACGATTGTTACTTTTGCATGGTGCCTTGTGTTGGACAAGCCACAGGTATGTCCAAGAAAAAAAAATCGGTTATTAACTACCCAAACATACCATCTGCGATGAGACCTGTGCCTCAGAGTGGACGAAAATCCTATTCCAAAACCCCCAGAATCCTACACTTGCGAATCAGAAAACGAATCAGATCATGGCGATCGAGTGATTCGTCAGGAAGAAGATATGCCATCAACGTCAAGAGATCCTGATTTTATTACCGAGCACGTCGTGCCACCAACAGCACAAAATACACAGTCAGAATTAAATGATCTTGTAAGAGATTAGAACTTCCAAATGTAAGGCAGAGTTACTTGGATCAAGACTGCATCAGTGGAACTTCTTAGAAGACGATGTTTCGGTATGTGTTTTTCGTAAACGCCACAAAGACTTAGAACCATTTTTCAATATGGAGAATAACTTGGTTTTCTGCAGTAACATTAACGGCTTACTGGCGGCTTTAAATATAAACTATAACCCAGAAGAATGGAGATTGTTTATAGACAGTTCAACATTGAGTTTAAAGGCAGTATTATTGCATATTAGAAATATTTTACTATCTCTTCCTGTAGGGTATGCAGATCACATGCACACGCAATATGAAGTACCTATTGACATGCATAAAATACGATGAGCACCAATGGCATATCTGTGGCGATTTGAAAGTTGTTGCACTTTTACTTGGGCTGCAGCTAGGCTACACAAAGTTTTGCTGTTTTTTGTGTGAATGGGACAGTCGGGCAAAGGCACTTCATTACACCAGACAAAAACTGGCCTATTCGTCAATTCCTAGAGCCAGGTCAAAAAATGTACAGCATATGCCATAGTAGGTTCGAAAAAAATGTATACCACCACTGCATATCAAGTTGGGCCTAATGAAAAACTTTGTCAAGGCATTAGATAGAGATGGGTCAGCTTTTCAATACCTGCGTCAGAAATTTCCAAGACTAAGTGAGGCAAAGGTTAAAGAAGGTATTTTTGTTGGGCCACAGATTCGAAATATTTTGGATGATACACAGTTTGAAAACACTTTAACAGGTATTGAAAAAACTGCTTGGAATGATTTCCGTCTGGTGGTCACTAATTTCTTGGGAAATAGAAAAACTGACAACTATAAAACCCTTGTAAAAAATATGCTGTCATCGTATCAAAAGATGGGCTGTGATAAGTATCTTAAGATACATTTCCTACACTCACACCTGGACTTTTTTCCTGACAATTGCGGAACCGTAAGTGATGAGCACGGCGAACGTTTTTCATCAGGATATTTCAACAATGGAAAAAGGTACCAGGGAAAGTGGAATCCTTCCATGCTTGCAGACTACTGTTGGACTCTTGGTAGAGATGCTCCTGAAACGATCCATAAAAGAACAGCAAAAAGACAGCGCATATAGTGATTCTTATAAGTATATGAATCTTGTTACTTTTTTTAATATATCCTTAAAAATAAAAGTTTTTTCCTAAACCGCAACTAATTTTTTTATTTCATTATCATTTTTTGATTCAGCGCCCCAAAATTAACAACTTTTCCCACAAGATACAATTAAAAAACTAAAATTTGTTGTCCAGTGTAATGAATCTGCAGCTTCTAAAAACGTCCGTTCTATCATTTTCCATCTTCATGTGGTTTCTTCTTTTGTGTTATTATCTGGTACACTCGGTATGACGCTTCAGCTGCAGCCCTACTCTTGTAGATTTTTTTTTAAAAACATTGTCTGTTGTCCAATTAACTGATTTTTAAGTTGTTTCAGTTTTTCCGTTTTGGTTGCAGAACGTAATGGGAATGATTTTCAAGACCCAACCGCTGACCTAAACTGCGCGCACTATCGCCGCGCCTTGCGTATTTATTCCGTTCAGAGTAATCGAGATCGTTCTCGAACAGATCGCTCACCGCAATGTTGCCGATGCTTGTGCTTATTTTGAGAATTACAGAAGCTTCTATGATTCTTACCACCAGAATCGCCTCTGCGAGCCTATCGGTAGCTCGCGATCGCCGGGTAGGCGACTACTGGTATAGATCGTACAGCTTCGGGCAAAGAAGCTACGAACCGCCCTCACTAGTATCATCTCTGAAGCAGGAAAATAGGTTATGTTTTTTGAATCTCATATAACTTTACATCATGTAAGACCATGATACCCATTTCCGTCTGTCTGTCCGCTAATCATTGGCCTCTTGGTTAACTTGGAAAGTCCTGCTTGGGGTTTGGATGGAACTCTTGCACAAGGTGACTACTATTTCAAGAACAAATAAGCTTTCTGGCTTTTGGAAACTAGTTCAGTAGCGACGAGGGAAAATCTCCACAAGCTTTGTCTTTTATTTCGGAGGATTTTAACAAAAAAAATTCAGGTATAAAGAATACCAATACGGATATAAAAACCACAGGTGATATATTTTCTAACCCATGCCCATCTTAACTGCAAAGACTTTTGCTTCTTATATTCTGTATGTTTCCCTTGTACTGGTATAAAAAATAATCCCAATCACCTCTAGGCGGGTACTTGAAGACTTTGAAAGAAACTTGAATTTCCAATGCCATCAACAACGTTGCAACCGTTGTAGCCCCATATCTTTGCGGTATATAGTTGACAAGATGTCGATGAAGTAGAAAAGACGTATAACAGCGTATTTCAATAAATTAATTTATTTTAAATTCCTGTATTATAAGAAGTGATGAATTATCCAATGGTCTACCAACGTACGCAATAACATTGTCCTAGGAAGCAAAGACCAAATATAGCAGAATGATTTCTGCAGGTTTCAAGGCACTCTGTATTGTTGCATGGTGGTTCAGGATCACTGTCAAATCCTCGGAATATCCTTGGCTTCACCTCTGTAATATAAATAGTATTGTAGAACGCAATTACTGAAAGGATTTTATTCTTAAACGTTTACCCAACTAATGTTTCTGTAGTCTACTATTTTGTGAAAGCAGTAAGGCGTATTTTTAAGATTTGTGGTTTATGACTTATGGTTGATTCTCACTATACATTCCGTTTCCATTCCGTAACCGTTCCGTAAATTATTGAAATTAATATTCGCCTTCGCTTAAAGCAGGATATGGGCGTGTGTATGCACCTTATCCGTAAGGTATACTGTGTATACAATCACATTGTACGGAACGTTAGCGAAACTGATATGGGATGGAAACGGAATGTATAGTGAGAATCAACCTTTATGGATAGATAGAAAATATATGGAGAAAAAGAAAAATAAGAAGAACAGTTATGCCGATGATAGTGATAAAGGTTTGCAAGTCAGAATTTGTATGAAGGGATTTTGACATCAAAGCAGCTTTCAAGCTAAGAAAAACACAATTGAGTGAATTATTAAGACCTCTGGGAGTTCGCGATAGTTTTGCTGGGGCAGAAATCAGACACATTTATGAACATGGTTTAATATTGAAAGGTTTGTAGTCGAGCCGAAACCAAAACTAGAGTGGAACTAAAAATTTCATGAAGGATATGATGACGTGTCTTGTAATTAATTGGATTTGGGTTTCCTGTTACAAAGTTGCCGACGTTTCGGAATAATTTATTTTCCTCCTTCGGGCTCTACAAAAAAAAAATACTTTGCATGTACATTAATTAATAGTTTAAGCAATAGAACCGATGTAAAAATTCTTATTGTAGTTAAGATATTATATAAAATAAACTATTAAAACGCATCCCTAAGTTTCATTATCAGTATAGGAATTTCAACATATACACAAATAAGAATAAAGCAAAAGACACAACGATTCGTAACAGTTTAGCTGGATATTCAAGACGTATGAAAAAGTTGTTTTTGTTTTGTTTATCAGAATAAAGGAAAATTATAGCTAACTCACTCTTTTAGTAGAAGCTGTGGTGGTCAAAAAACAATCCAACGTTATGCCCATCCTAAATATTATCATTTAGACTGAAACTTATCAATAAATAGTGAAAATCTGATATGTTTTTTACGATACTGATGTTTTGAATTTTTGTGGTTGATTAATATTATCCTTGGTCGTTACTTGTTTTCATGAAATTTATGATGTTATATTATTGTACATACTACTTAAATATGCATAGGTCGGTTTCTTATTCACTGCATTATTGTGTCTTTTGATATTCAACAGTTCCTTGAACATCATTTTTTTTATTAAATATCATTCCTGCATAGGACCTCGTAAGCATCTAAACTCAACATATGACATTCTTAAAACTTATGTTGGGACTAGGAGGTAAGTCTTTACAGTCTCTTTTGTATTCTGATTGTTCGGATTTTTAAGTACCTTTTTGTTGTCCTATAAATATTTTGTGACAATCACATCACTAGCTTGTCGTTCTGTTGGAATTGTGACCTTAAGTTTACTAAGAAGTTATTCCTGATTGTAGCTTCACTTTTACACACAATCCAAACTGTATCTTAAACTTAAAACGCTCGCCGATTTCTCCGACAAATTCTGGCTTCAGCGTTGTTGTCCAAATCCAGTTAATTACAAGAAATTCATATTAATAAGGGTCATTAGAAGGATAATTTTCTATTCTATAGACGTTAAGATCGTCAGAAGTTCAAATCGACTAGCCATACTCCCCCTTAACTCACTTGAATTTCAGCCTAAGCCTGTTAACTGCGACCAATATAGTCGTTAAAAATCATATAATCTCTACCACTACAAGACAAGAGAAGGAACAGGTAGGAAAAGATAGGTCTAAACTCACCTTCCTCTTCAGCAAAGACGAATAGGGCCATTATGGTAACTACTGCAAAGACACTAAGTAAGACTTTCATTTTGAATTGTTGGATCTTCGATCTACTGTTATTGGGTGAAAGGACAGTTTGATGCTATACAAAATCTGATAGTTGTGCAGGGCTTTTATATGCACCGGGTCTACGTTCAAGTGGCATTTTTTTAGTTTATTTTTGATAAACATATTTATTCTAGATCTTTACTAAACTTCATTGCTGAATGATTCTTAGTACTTACGTTATTTTAAGTATCTTTTTAATGTTTGTTTTAACGAGTGCTGATACGGAGAATACCGTATAGTCACTGCTATGAGTTTTTTTTGTTTCCTATCATTACTATTAAACTAGAAAGCACTTATCTATTAAATCAACTAAACTACTATACTTTGTTATAAAATGTAGCAATATCATATCAGTTGGTGAACTTCATACACTTTTCATGAGTGGTAATTCAGATTATGCCCGAATACCTCGAAAACCTAGCTTCCACGCATTTTCTTGACAAGAGGTTTTAAAATATTTCAGGGTATCAGAAAAGCAATTTGACCCCAAATATGATCTTGACAATGACCTCAGGTTTCATTTGACGGTCAACTTTGTAAATTCAAATGACAACCACCATTTTCGACAACACATTTTCACACATTAAGTCAAGCGGTCATAAGTGGTTTAATGATTTTGACCTGAAGTTACGTCTGTAAGTTTACGAACGCCCAGAAAACCTGGCAACCAAGCATTTTTTTGGAAAAAATGCTCAGAGAAAAGGCTCAGCGTTTCAAGAAAGCAATTTCTCGATGACCTCAGGTGTGACTTGGAAAATGACCTCAGATGTCTTTGGGGGTCAACTTTGAGAATTAAAATAACAGCAATGCATAATGCACCTTAGGATACTATTCTCTTGAAGGGGAGATACAACATTGTTTTCACTTTCATTCAATGTTCTTAGTATTTTTTCAATGTTCTGTGTTCTTGGTTATACTACTTCCTTGCAGTTTCCATACACTAGGCTGTATCTAGATCAAAATACCTAACTCAGTGTTCACTTTTTTTTGGCAAATTGAAAAAATTCTACAAGCCGCATTTCATAGTTCTTGGATCGATGCATCGAGGTCGGTCAAGATGGATTACATGTAAGGGTCTTCATACTACTCTGCAGCCAAGTAAGTATAAGATAGTCAGTGGTATTGTAGCTCTAAAACCTATAAAAATTCTGAGTTCACTTATTATTATATATTATATACCTATTTCTGTTTCAGATCTTGAAAACAGCCTTTTATTATCACACAATGTTCCATAATTTAAGGAAGAAGAGTTAGATACGTACCAAACGACACTCGTATTAAATAGAGTTTTAATTGTGACAGTAAAATAGATACATATATCTGAATGATCGACAAATATCGTGAACAACCCAACTTCGCACTCGCATATCAATCTATATGGAGAAACATATGTAAAACATGTTTCCATTCAAGACAATATACTTAAATCGTCACTATTTTTAACAGAAACATTACTGTCGAGAAAATAAAAAAGTTCAACTCTAATTTATTTGTATATACCTAAAGGCATGTTTGAAGCTTCATTCAGCAGCAACAACAACAACGACATCGAAACTGGATAAAGGATGGAAAAATTCCATGTAGTCAGCCCACTGCCATTTTTTTATGTTGCCCACTGCTTGGCCGGTTTGGTAGATTTTATATATTTTGCAAATGTGTCTCTGATATTCTTCCACCTTTTTTTACTTCATCACCTAAAAACGATTTTTTTTATAGATTCCTTGCCACTGGTGACACCTTCTATACCATTGGGCATAGCTTTCGAGTTGGCTTTACAACAGTGAGTGCAATCGTAACCGAAGTCTGTGAAGCGATATGCAGACATATGGAGCATATATATTTACCAGAACCAACAGAGAATATATGGAAAAAATGTGCTGAAGAATTTGAAAATAGATGGGGATTTCCCAATTGCATTGGCAGCGTGGACGGTAAACAAACATGTAACAATCAAGAGACCTAACAACAGTGGCTCCAATTACTGCTGCTATTTACATAAATATTCAATAGTACTTATGGCCATTGTTGGCCCGGACTATAAATTTATATGTGTTGATATTGGTGGTTTCGGAAAAAATAGTGATGGGGGTATTTTCGAAACCTCAAACATGGGAAAACGATTTGAACAAAATTTAATGAGTGTCCCTGCACCTAGATTTCTCCCTGGGCAAAATGAAATCTGCTCGTACGTCTTAATTGGTGACGAAGCATTTGCTTTAAAACCATACCTTATGAGACCATTTCCTTATAAGCAGACTTTAACAGACGTCAGAAAAGAGAAATACAATGTAAGACTTTGTCGAGCTAGAAGGTTCGTGGAAAATGCGTTTGGTATTTTATCTTAAAAATGGCGAATATTTTACAGGCCATTAGAAACTAAAGTAGATACTACTATTCTAATTGTACGTACGGCATGTGTTTTACAGAATTTTTTACGAAGTAAAAGTGGCGATGACAAATATTTTCAATTCTTAGATCCCCCAGAACCCGTGCTTGGAGCTTTTACTGATATAGCAAATGATCCTCGGCGGGCAGCAAGGCTAGCATTTTCTACTCGTGACAAATTCGTAAATTATTTTAATTCTGATATGCCTATGCAGAATATATAGAATGTTTGTTTTCACATTTGTGTAGACTGTAAATTATTTAACAAGTTAATAAAAAATATTAGCCAAAGCGAATATTTCGCGCCGGTTTGTGGGATGCTTAACTCAGCAAGGCATTCATGTTGCGATGAAAGTTGTAATAAATTATGACGCGAAAATGTTCTCGGTTAAGTTCCATTTTTCTAATGACTTGGTGATACTTAAAAATTCACTGTAGTGAGAACACTGCACGTATTGTTGTGAAACTTTAAATTTAAGTTTACTAAAGACTGAAGTTAAGATTCAGTACTCAAATTATCGTAGTTACTAAGAACTCCATGGAAAGTCTAAAAATTAAGGAAAAATGTGGGTTTCCACTTACAAATCTAGTGTAACGCAATATCTTATTGTTGGATCACCCTGTATTGTACGGCTATAGATAAAAATAAGTCTCCGTAGAAACCAAGATTGACGTGTCTGGGCGTTTTTCCCAAAATATAACAGAAGAGTCACAAATAAGGCCACCCTGTATACTGTTTTGCATATTTTTTGTAAATGTTAATCACCCTATAACTCCGCCTCTGGTAGATGCTGGGTGGATTGAGTAGCTCAGTGACTGCCAGTGCCGGTCCCAAGCCCGGATAAAGGAGGAGGGTTGTAGCGGCGGGTTGGCTCCCCGCCCTGTGGAAAAAAAGCATTGCTAAAAAACCCATACAGCAGCCTCGGAATTCGGACGGATTACACGGAAAACGACAAAAGCAAAGAAAACGGTTAACGAATATTGGATGCTGGAATATACATGGACTAAACACTAAAGATGATCAAGTATTTAGAGAACTCCACACATACGACATCGACATCATAGCAGTACTCAGCGAAACAAAGAAGAAAGGACAAGGAAACAGCTACAAAGATGAGTACATATGCTTTTGGAGTGGAGTAGAAAAATCGAAACGGGCCAAAGCTGGTGTAGCTATTGCAATAAAAAAGGTCATGGAGAAGTTCATAATGGACTGGAACCCAGTTGACGAAAGGATCATAACGGTTGACATGAAAATAAAAGGAAGAGAAATTAAAATATTCGGTATCTACGCGCCCACAGACGACTCAGATACAAACACAAAAGACAAATTTTTAGACAAACTCTCTGAGGAATTAGATAAGACGAAAAATAGACAAGAAATAGTCTTGATAGGCGATCTGAACGGAAGAGTGGGCAAAGCTCTTGACAGTAAAATAATTGGACAACACGAAGAGGAAGTAGTCAATGAAAACGGAACCAGATGGATAGAGCTTTGTGAACAACACTCGTTAAGAATCTTAAACGGATTTTTCCAACACAAAGACATACACAAATATACTTGGACTCAAAAAACAAAAAACTTGAAATCAATTATTGACTATGTCGTGATTAAACAGGACACTTCCATAATACCCTATGATGTAAAAGTTTGGAGAGGAGCTGAGTGCGGTTCAGATCACCTGCTAGTAAAAGCACCCATTGAAATTACTTACAATAAACATCTCATATATCAAGAACAAAATAACAATGGAAAACCCACAAAGCGATATAACATAGACAGCTTAAGGGATGAATCCACCAGTTTCCTTTACAAACTACGTTTAGCACAAAAACTGGACGAAGATATTAACGGCAAGGCAGGAGAAATGTATGAAACTTTGAAACACAAAATTCACGAAGCAGCACTAGAAGCCCTTGGTGTTAAAGATAGAACGGAACACAAAAATTCTTGGTGGACGGACGATTTAACCCAACTGGTAGAAGAAAAGAAAAACTTATATCTTAAATGGTTAACTACAAAAGACGATGAAGATCGAAAAAGCTATAATCGTTTTAAATATATAGTAAAAAAAGAAAAAAATAAAAAACAAAACATGGGAAACCAAATGTGCTGAAATTAGCTCAATGGTAGGAGGATCTAGGTCTAGAGAAGCTTGGCGAACTATAAATGGCCTTAAAACAAACACGAATGAAAGAAGAAAAATAAATCCCATAAAAATAGAACAGTGGAAAGACTACTACAATAATCTACTGGAAGAACAACGTGGAGAGTATTTAGACACGCAACTAGATATAGATCAAACGCGAGTTAACAGAGTAGATACCATTCAATTAGAAGAAATAAAAACACCATTACAAAAAATGAAAATAATAAAGCTCCGGGACCGGGGGATTTGCCTATCGAGTTAATTAAACACGCCACCACAAGAACGCAGGAGCTAAACAAGTGCCTGGAAGGGTAAACGATTCCCAGAGATTGGAGGAGCTCTTACATAAATTCCATTTATAAAAAGGGAAACAGGAGTGACTGTAGTAATTATCGGGGTATTAGTATTACATCGTCCATCGGAAAGCTGTACGAAAGAGTCCTAACAGCCCGAATAGAAGACGAAGCCACGGAAATTGAAGAACAATGTGGATTTCGACCTGGGCGATTCCTGTGTCGACAACATATTTACAATAAAACAACTGACAGAAAAGAGATTAGCAAGAGGAATGGAGCTACACGCTACTTTTATAGATCTCCGCAAGGCATTCGACTCCGTCCCTTTGCAGAAATTATGGATCGCAATGAAAGAAGCAGGCATAAATAGCAAAT